TGTGTTGTTGTCGATACTTTAATTGTGGAAAACTTTTCAATCCATATAAACACAATTAAGAGAAAATAGTCTTTAAAAATGAATGGTAAAACAGGACACTCCAGCATCCTTTTAAGTTGGTGAAAAAAAAAACAATCTCGATAGTGTTCGCCGAGGATACGCAAAATAGTTGAGGAAACATATTTTAAGCTGGTGAAAAAAAAAACAATCTCGATAGTGTTCGCCGAGGATACGCAAAATAGTTGAGGAAACATGCTAGAACGTGACGCTGTGGTATTTCCCGATGATAAATTTCATATTCATCAAACACGTGAAATAACGGTTATCGAATTTATCACTAGGTATTATTACGTCACGCTCGCTTACCGTCATAATCACGCTGGTGGGTAGCATACGCAGGAAAAATATGATTCTACGATGTAACGGTCGTTAATCTTTTTACTGAGAATACACGTCATGCCCGCCATCGTCACAGACTACAACACCGTATTCTTACGCGTCGGAAGTGCTTTGTTTTTATCATTTACTTTTAATTTCCGCTCGCTTTTTTAACTCGGAAATAGTCACCTAGGGTGTCTTCAGCGGCAAGAAAATGTGAATTGAAAATATTGTTTCGTATATTTTCTTTCTTTTTTGTTAACTATTCTTTACGAATTTTTGTATGCAATTTCATTGAAAATCCACAATAAAAAAGTGTTATACCAATCAACATAAAAAATTTTTAGAAACTATTATAAGCTACTTAACGTGGTTATTTGTTTGATTTGTACTGTTTTGGAAATTGTGATTAAACCTACATCCATTAATATTTTCAAACACTAATAAATCAGAAACAATTATTAAGATACAATAGAATGTTAATAACAGTGATTTTAATTGTAAAAACACTGCAAGTAATTTATGTAGAAAAAATCAAGTGTCTACTCCCAAAGTAGTAGAAGAAGTTAAATTCGTGAAATAGTCTCAAATCTCGAAGGGGAATAACTGTCGGCCGACAAAATCGTCGACGCGTCTCGCGTGAATATGTATGTTGATGCCTCGGGCACACGTTTTCGCGACATTTATCGAGCTGCCTGGAGAGGATTCGCGTTGAGAGCAGACTTTTTTTTGCGAAGGGAAGACTCGGATAGCCACGCACTTATTCTCCAAATGCCTAAAGTAGATACTATTGCGGGTAAACGACGGGGAAGTCGCATAGTTGCCGCGGGGTTTTACGACGACACTGAAAACGTAAAAATCGCAACATGTACATCCGTTTCTTATGCGTTTCGTCAAACGGACTGGTACTGGAATGTGTAATGCGGCTGCTGCTGTCGGAAAGTAACATGTGTCCGCGCGCCAACAGTCAGCCATAAATGTCGTACATGCAATTTTGATGGAGAGCTGGCCTGCATAAAGGACTGCTGCAGGCATGGCCAGCGCCATACTCTAAATCGGCAGCCGCGAGCTTGCTTGTATTATTCTAATGATCTGCCATTGAAATTCGTCGGACTGCGTCCGAAATAATATCATCTCCAGTAATAGCGAAAGTACGAATTAAACGTAAATTATCAAAAAAGCTCTGGGATGTTTTAATTAACACGGATATGCTTTATGGTCATTTTTTCCTAACTAGTTAACTTTTAATTACAAACTGACCAAGGGATTTGGACGAATGGTTTTAGCCGCGCCTTTTTATGTGTATAATAAAATGAAATAACTGTACATTCGGTATAAGAGAAATACTAGCCACAAACATTAAAAAAATATAATTAAAAAGATACTTTATTATTAGTATTCATTTATAATAATATTACTATATTAATGTAATATTATTAATTTGTTACTAAGTTTTTTAGGTTTTTATATACATATATACACGGAAAAAACAATTTTACTGAAGCATCTAAAAATTTAGTTAGGTACAAAAATCAAGCATGAGCAATGCCACAAAAAGATTTTGAGATTATAGCAACACGTTTGAGTCCTGTGTGTGTGCATAATAATTTTAATAGTTAAAAAAAATTATTTTCAGATCTGTACCTAGCTAAATTTTTAGACTCTTCAACAAAAAGCGTTCTTTCCGTGCGTACCATTTTTTATTATATTATATTAAAATTATTATTATTGATGTAATAGCCGGGAATAATGTACTAGAAAAAAACTATAGGAAACTCTTCTCTCGAGTTTCAAGTGTGAGTGCGAGAGTAACGCAGTGATATCGTATCGATCTGCTTGCCGCCCTGTTACAGCTGTACCTGACGTCGAACGTCTCGTCGAGCGACTTCAACATGGGCTACAGTATGACGGGTACGTTGGAGCGCGGCTGCAAGAAGACCAACTCCTTCCAGATGACCCACTTCGCGGTGATACGGCGACGGGACTACGAGAAGGCGTACGAAGACCCGAATCCCACCTAGTGTCCGTCCACACCCACGCTCTCCGAGTGTGGGGATTGCGAGCATTACACGTAGCTGGGGGAGCAAAGGGCCGCCAAGAGGAGCGAGATGCATTTCCGTGTGCGTTCGCATTTGCGCTGGGGGGAGTGCATCCGCCGCTCGATGGATCATTGGGAAGGAATCGCTACTTAGTGCGAGATCGATCACGAAATCCCGAAGCTCCTGGCAGGTCGGCTCAACGAACGTATCCTCGAAGAGATAGCGTTCGATCGCGGATCACCTGTGATCGAGAATCTCTTAGAGAAATATATGTGTACAACATTAGACCGCTAAATCCGCCTGTTTGCGTTTCTCGTTTATTGCAAGCTTCTAAAAGGAGCGTTGAAGACAGAAAATAAATGTGCATAGACATCATCAAGTGAAAAATACGAAGGGAAAGTGGAAGTAAATAAAGAGATGGTAGAAGAATAAATAGAAAAAAAAGGCTAACATCGCGATTCTATATTGAATTATCTACATTTCTCTTAAAAGACATCAGGATGAGAGATAATCAAGATAAAGTGTGAAGAAGGAAACTTTAATTCACATAGAATCAACATTAGCTCGTGATAATAAGAGATCATGGAGATGAAAGGTGGAAGATCAAGATAAAGGATTTTATAAAAAAAAAGGAATGCCGAGAGTTTTAATTCTTACAGGATAAATATTTCTTTTACGAGATTTCCCACAAAATAAACTTATGATGGATCTCTCGCAATAATTGACTTCTTTGAAGATGTATAGCAATATTTTTTTACTCCTAAAATTACGCATATAACGGCATAATTTTTTCATGTATACCCGAACCGTGTGTTTTAAGGCTTAATTAGCGCTCTAATGAACTACACAACGTCTTTCTGTTACCTCAAATTGTCAAGGTACATCATTTTCGCGCGTAATGAAGTTCGAGATCGGACGAGACCTGACAGCGACCTGAAAACGACAGCGACACTTCGAGAAGGTAAGAATGGCCGAAAGCTCGTTATTATCGCGAAACATAGAAACGAAATACCAAAGTCGAGTGGCGGCCCTGCGCAACAGAGCCAAACGTCCAAAGATAGTCCTTAAATTAGATCGAATTAATTAGCTCTTAATGGAAATCGTCGAGCGACGCGTATACCTGTAAGGAAGTGTATACAGAGGGCGACGTTGATCGAGAGGATGCGAAAACTGTTTTACCAAAGTACTAGCACGTAAGTTACTTGCAACTTTCTGCCGGCGATAATCCAAGATCGCAACACACACTCCTTCAACCCACAAGGTACATTGCTTCTCATCGATCGACGCATCAATGGCTGCCGCTGCCTCGTCGAAATTATAATTAGTAAATGATTAACGACTAAAGCTTTTTCTCAATGAATCCACGGCGAATGTCAGCTGTCTAGAGTAGTATTATATGTGCCAATTCTCAAAGCTATCGTTGACGAGCACTGTACCTGACAATTACTACAAAGTCAGAGCGTGCGAATGCGCACGGTGAAAAGCCTGAGACGGACGAAACAATGTTTTCCAACCCCATTTCGCGGCCGGTCGAAAGTTTAAAAGGCGTTTAAAAGAGATCTGTATGGAACCTGGGAGGGATTAACACATTGAAAAAAAGATTAAAATGTCTTTCAGCTTTGTGCGACATTGTTAATCTCGTAAAATGGCATCATCCGGCTTTTATGCTTCAATTCTTTTACGTGTTCACACAAATAAAAACTTTAATTGTAGACAGTACCTATTCGATGTAAATTAAAAATAATATAATCAATATCATAATTTCGCACTCAACAATGTAACTGTTATGTAACATCATGTGTTATATTACATTTGTATTATTCGAATGCGAAATTATAATATTGATGTTATGTTACTTTTAGTTTTTGTCAATTGGATAAATTCTTAGAATATTCAACAATTTTCTTTTGATCACAATATATCAAAATTTGCTTTTAATTCCTTGAAATGCAATTTAATTCTCAAGTACAAAGTTATTCTAAAATGGTATAGAGGAGTTCATCGATTTATACCTTCAATGATCAAGTTCCTTATTTGGCCGGTTTTACCGAGGGTCTATCGCATTTCAGATTTGACGGTTCGCTAGAATGGAAAATTTCATATGGCGGGGCCCGTGTCAGGATGCTGGTGGTTATAAATATCGTTTCGCCGCTGGTCTAAGGCTTTATAGGCAGTATGTAGCTGTAGCGTGTAGCCGGCTTACAAGGTATTTCAAAGCTTGTTACGCGCCCCTTTCTTTGAGCCACCGACGGACGTCGCTCAAGGAAGGAAGAAAAGCCGCGAGAGAAAGAGAGCTTCGCTGCACTGACGCCGGACATACACGTGACACAAAGCGAGAGACCTCTCTCGCTTTATCTTACGTACGGGATCATCGTGAATCGGTGTTGTAAACGCGTAACACGATACTTATTTTTGCTAAAGAGTAGGAAGTCACTCACACCAGTCACGATGTATCCCGATGAGATCTAAGTCAACGATCGCCGATCGTTCGTTCGGGACGGGATGCGATTCCGGCGAAAATCGGGAGAAAAACAAGGAAAAGCCTCCGCTAACGGGATGGTCATGAAAGATTCGACGAGTCTTTCTGTATTATATTATATTTTTATTAACGTGAAACGATTGATCTATATTAGCGAGTAAAGTTGTGTTTTGATGCAGTGCTTAAATGATTTATTTATTGAATAATTATTGTTATTTGTCTTTTTTTTTTTTCGTAATTGTTTATGATATTATCGATGTTGCGTCGCGATTTTCGAATCGTTTCTAATGTAAAAGTATCTACTAATGGCAGAGTGTACGAGTTTGATACTACTATCTTTAGATAGAAGCCGACGAACGGTGAACGAACGGTCTCAGAAATTCTATTATAATAAACTCGTCATACGTAACTCCCCTTTATAGTCCTCGATGAAAATCTAGTACCTTTCGCTTTTGCTCAAGGAATTATCTATAATGCCAAATAAATATTATGTGCAATAGCGCGCAAGAAAGTTAAGTCGTTTGCATTTTGATATTAAGATATTCATTGCGTTAAGAGATTTCGGTTAATTATTAAGATAAAGTAAGATGCATTTTTCAAGCATTGGAAAAAATTTTAGAATGCTATTTTAGATTATTTCCCTTAGGGATGCATTATTAATAGTTACTAAATCTATGTCGGGAATTTATTAAAGTAATCCTTTCAGTATCAAATTTAATGCAAATATTGCATTGTTTTTTGCTAATTTTTTCATTAGTTTTACTTTCGACTTTGTTAGTTCTCAGTACGAACGTTAAATTAATAATCTGTGAATCTCTGAACAGTGATAGCAAAAGATAATATTCAAATAAATTTTCATAGTTTAATTTAATGGACATTATCATTATTAATCTTCAAATTTTTAATAAAAACTGCAATCCCCCCTAACTTATTAATAAAATTTAATCTTTTATGTTTGGTAGATAATGAAAACTGACGTGCAATATACGGTACAGAAATACTGAAAGGATTAAGTAGAACTTTATAACTCGCTGTCTTAATTGTTCTTTACTTTAACATTGCTTACTTAATAACGCGTGCGTCGACGCTTTTCTCGAATTAGCGTGGATGGAGGCAATCGAGTTGGATTCTTCGAGTCTCCTATTCGAGTGGAGTTACATGTTTACAGGGTTTAACGTTGTTTCGCAATTCAAGAGGGTAAGAAAAAAATTGATCGTTTCCTTCAGCAATTCTTATGACCCTAATCAATGCTTTGATAAAAATTCCAATTGCTGAAAGGAGGAAGGAGTAATTTTGTGAGCTGATATTGCATGATACAGTAAACTCACGTTAACTCGCGTCGTCCAATGCCACAAATCCTTCTCTAGTTACTATCCTTCACAAACTACTGCTAGTTTCGAGTTTCTCCGAATTCGCACTAACGAGGGTTCATTGCACAGGTACTTGCTATTATGTGTGTCAGAATCGAGTTCGTTACCATTATCCACGTTACTTGGATTGCGAAAATCAAGTAAAGAATCGATATAAGTGTACCATTGCATGTATATAAGTATATAGTGTATAAAACTTATGCATATATGTACAACATGTCTCACCTACACGCGCACACAACAATAACACCTTCCATGAGTAGATGAAATTTTACGAGATCCTGGTTGATGTTGTAGATTAGTAGATTAGAACTTATCAGTCGCTTCTTTTAGTCAATCTAGTCCTAGATCTAGCATGGGCTGCTCGTCGTAGTTAGATTGTTTTCGATAGCGGATTATACCTAAGGGATTACACCGAGAACACTCGCAAGCTTGTGAACTATAAATTCAGATTTTATGAACTCAGGACGAATCGACGATAAAAATCGTTATGGAAATTTTCGTTCTTTCTAGCTGAAGGTTATTTCTCTGAAACGTAGCGCTTCGTTCACACGAATCCGCTTTCCTTCTTGGCGAAAAGCCTCGTTTCCGTTTTACGACGTCGCGACTCTCAAGTTCAACAACGGAATTTCCGGCGCTGTGTGAGCGAGTAAGTGTATATAAATGAGATGACGTCTCGCTCAGCTTCCTGACTCCTAAGATTCATGACCGCCAGTTTATGACGTTCTTGGTTGATGTGACTCGACAGGAAGCCGATCTATGAGCGCGGAACTTGTTAAGATCCTTGGCGAAAATCACGAATATTCGATATCCTGCGCTCTCTTCCTATATCTATTATCATGCCATTTACAGCCGAAATTCCCATTGGCTTCTAAAACCCTTGCAAAACGCGACAAATATTTCTGACTACATGGCAGTGAGGCGTAACAAGATGTCGATAATATTGGAAAATTTCCTGGATGGTCACAAACATACGTCCATTATGTAACGAAAATCCTGAATCAATTTTTTTCATAATAAAAACGTCGAAGTGCCAATCATTTTCACTTATTAAAAATTTATTTTACTTTCCAATTTGAGTGATTAAATTTTCAATTAAAATGCCTGATAAACTCAAAAAATAAAAAAAAATTCATGTAAAAATTTGATTAAAACACAAGTGATGTACACTTCAATTTTAGAAATCACGAAAAGTTGTAGAAAATATCCAATATTATTGTAGCCAATTAAATTTTCTTGCTATTTGGAGTATTGATTGCGAATTCGGGACAACTGTTATTTTGACGTATTACCAGTATGACACGTTGTGCATTATTCAGTTCGTGCTCGCTACGAGGGTTCTCGGTTTCGCCTCTGGCAGAATAATATTATCGTGTCGCCTAAAATGTTAGTAGTCGTATCCTCACTTTTCGGGGTAGTCTTCTATAAGCCTTTTAGGATGATTTAAGTGAATACATACGTCCGATATCACGGTCCCTCCTAACTACTTAGCCGTAGTCTAGACCCACTGATGCACGCTTTCTTCAAGTCTAAAGAGAGGTCACCTATCTTCGTCTTCAAGCTGCACAACGGGTCTCTAGTCTATCTTATCGCGTCGCGCTAACTAATCGCATCCGAATCGCTCAAAGTACCATCCAAGTTAATTTAACTTTTAAACTTTGTATTTCGAATATCCACATTAATTTAATTATTTCGTAACTGTAATTATATTCTCTCTTAAGAATATTTAAAGTAACTCACACTTAAGCTCGTAGAGAAAATCTCTCTTAGAATTGAATTTACATTTCTTAAGGAATTTTATTTTAAATTAGATCGCATCAAATAATGAAACGTACTTATTCGTAACTTGACATTCTTCAAATAAATTTTTGATGTATGAATTTATATTAAAGTTTATTTCAAAGGTCAAGCTGTACTTGAGAAATTTTATTTGTATCAAATAGTGATAACAGTTAAAATAACGATCACCAACAAAGTAGATAAGAAATACATTTTTACCGTTGTTCAACATGATATTGATTTTCCTCTCATCTACACTGAGAAAAATGATTTTGTTATAGGAACAAATCAAGGGAAAGCAAATGTGATATTTGTTAAAAAAACAATCGATTTGTTACGATTGCAAATTAATTCGTCAATGTAACAAATAATCAATAGTCGCTAGCAAATAATATATATGTGTAGGCTCATATATATATGTAGATAAAAATCGTAGACGGTTGCAGGGTCTCAAATCGTAAGAAATTGACTAATTCTAGTCAAGTATTCTTCCTATATTTGACTGTGCTTGGTCGGTTTCCTATATGACTTAAGACTCCACGATCATCTACGAATTCTATGTAAACGAGCTAAAGTCTATCCAAAAGATAGGTTAGACTCTATATAGTTTAATAGTTTATTTCTGTTGCTAATAATTGGTTGGTATAGCAGACTAGCAGCAATCACAACAACATAATTTGTTGTCACATATTTACCGATCACCGGTTAAAGGTACTGGTGGCTTGCAATTAACAAAATCTTTTCTCTCATCTACCAATGGAATCCGAGTCAAAATCAATCTCGACGATTCGGATGCGATAAAGGAAGCGAGCCGTGCCCTATCTTCGAGATATAATGAGAACGTATACGTAGAGAGCGCCAAGTAGTGATCGTAGCAAAATCGATGGTCGTCGTCGTATTGTGCTCATCGCCGGACATCGCGACGTCGTCGACGCTCCGTTTTTTCGTTTCTCTCCAAGTTGATCTCGGATTCCTCTCTTTCTCTCTATTTTCTCTTCGCTCTCCTCCTCCCTTTCTTCTTCTCGTTGGAACGCCAGTCGAATCTTCACCGCTCACGCAAACGTCGATCGACAA